TTTACATTTGACGTCATTCGATACATGCTGAAAAAGTCTTGTAATGCCGTTTCTTCAGCTTCTAAGCCTTTAAATTTTTTTAATGCTCTTTTGAAATTGTCAGCAAATCGTTCCGCTTGTCTATTCAACCTCGGATGATAAATCGGCGTTGTCAAATGTTCAATCACGTAGATTTTGCAGAAAATTTTAAATTCCCTAAAAGTTTCATTATCGGATACCACATTGTCAGATTCTCCAATCCTTGCAAAAAGTTCGCGCAAGTATTTAATTGTTATTACAGTAGTAAGTTGTTTTCACTTCAATATCTCGGTCCATTTTGTGAAACTGTCAACCACACTTAAATATTACGAATCATTCTAGTAAAGTCGATATGTAGTCTTGCCTACGGTTTATGCTTGATAATTTATAGGCGGTGATTTTGCTGCTGAATTACAACCATTATATTTTCTAAATGTATTTTGGATGTCTTTGTCCAACTTTGTCCAATACACGTAGCTTCACATCAAAGCCTTCATTCTTACTATTCCCGGATGGCCGACGTGAAATTGTTTTAAAATCCTTTTCTTTTTTTTTTGTTGTTGTGATAACGGAATTAAAAATATTCACATACAAGTACTCCATCACAAATAGAAAATGGTGTATTATTGTTAGCAAGTTTCATTTTAGTTTCATTCCATTTCGACTTAACATCATTCATAGGTTTTTTTGAATAAACGTATCCTTTTCAGAATGAATTTTGATATCGTCTGTCGCGACCGGCAATTCTTTAATAGTATTACACACCAGGCTTTTAATTTCGCTTTCAGATTCCAGCGAAGAAATCAGAATGTCTTCAAAATCTTCTTTAGATTTCGATATCTCTCTGGATAAGCCATCTGCATGCTCCAATTTCTTTGACAATAGAAATTCCATCTTGAAATCATAGTTCGACAAAATCTTAACCCTCTAAGGCTGTAGTCTGTTTGCAGTGTGCGTAGGAACCGAATATATATAATAATGGACGATGATCAGTTTGAAGTATGAATTTTCTTCCTAATATCATCCTGTGAAATTTCTTTACAGCAGAAATTATAGCAACCGCTTCCGTTTTAATTTGACGATAGCTTTTTTCTATATTAGTGTGGGCGACTGCTTTCACTGTACCGTCTTCGAATTTATGGCCTATTAACACCCCTATGCCATATTCGCTCGCGTCTGACGCTACTATTATCTGTCGTTGCAGGTCGTAATGTGACAGCGGTAACTCTGAAGTTAGCAAATTTTTAATTACTTCGAAAGCTTTTTTGATATTCCGCAGACCAATTCCATTTCTTACCCTTCTTAAGTAAATTCTTTAAAGGTGCTTACATTTTGTCCATCTTTCGCACATAAATGTTTTAATAATTCGCTAATTCGAGAAATGTTTGTAGCGTTACCAGATTTGTCGGGAGAGGGGTGTCTTTAATGTCACTTGCTCGAGCGGGATCTGGTCTTCTTCCTTTTTCGTCGATTATCTGACCTAAATATTTAATCTTATCTAAAAAGAATTGACATTTCTTTTGACTGATTGTGAAACCGTAATCATATAGTCTCTGAAATACTTCCTTCATCAGTTTTACATGCTGTATGCTCTTAGTAAGTCTATCATCTATGTAAGTGGCAACAACATCTAATCCATCTATTATTTGTTGGAAAATACCCGGGGCTACTTTTACACCAAAGAGTTATCTTTTATACTTGTAGAGTCCTTCATGCGTATTAATAATAATAATAAAAAAATACTTCTGGTAATTTGGTAAATATATCCTCTGGAGTTGGTAGGGGATATGCATATGGTAGGAGGTAGTCATTCAATCAAGTTGGAAAACGCTATATTCCGTGCTAATATATGCGAATATGAAATGGACAAACACTGTGGATAAATAGTAACAGATTTTTTGTAGAAACCGGTACAACAATCAAGGAAGTAACAGTTATGCGCACGGTCGTCGCAAGTCAGTACAGTTGTGTTCGTGCTGCTATCAGAAGGCCGCTAGTCTCGCAGATCCCAGCTCGACGCTATTTAGCAACTGCCCCACGCAGTCCCATCATTGCACAGGGCCGAATTTAAAGTGGGGTTCCCGAGCCCGTAGGCTCGGCCAAAAAATCCCCGTGGACCCCGCATAAACGGGATCGGGTCTGTCTACCTCCCGGGACGAGACTCTGTCTTTCGGCATAGCCTCGTCCGGGTTCCTCTCTGCCCAAAGGCATTGAGTTCTACTAGCACAGTTGGGAAAGATTCCAGATCGACTTTGCTGTCGAGCTGCCCTTACCACCTACAGTGCCGCCACTCATGGGGGTGGCAGGTTATTCACATCAAAAAATATGTACATAAACGAATTTTTTCTAATATAAACCGCTGGAGTAGCCCATTATGAATAATCTATTTCTCAATAACTCCGCGGATTTCTAACCTGTCCAGTTCGGTGTTAATAGACTCCAACGCAGCAAAAATATGTATCTTTCTTTTAGGCTTAAACACTGGTATCACATTTTCTTTCAATTTAAAAAATGTCTTTGACTATGCACATTTTTCCAACTCCTCTGAAAAAATATTCGTGAATTTATTTTTTAGTTTCCTCTGTGTTTTTTAGCTGTAATCTTTTTCTCTGACGAACAATAATTTTTTCCACAGAATTAATCGGCCAGTTCCATAGTTCAAATAATTCTAGCCAATCGACGCGTAGTAAATTCGAGTTGGAATTTTTTAATACATAAACATCTGCTTTTTTACTTTTACCTGCAAAAGCAATGTCACACGCGATTAATTTCTTACCTGATATTCCTCTTGCAACTTTGTCAGATTTTCTGAAGTTAGGCCTGCCAATTCTGCTCCAAGGTTGTTCATCAATAATTTTAATGTCGTTACCATTGTCCAATTGAAATCTCACCGTAGCGTTATTCATTTGTACTGTCACGAATTTTCTGTTATTTGAACTTACCATTTTTTTTTAGCTGAAAGCACTACTTTCAAAAATTTAATATGTATTTCTTTTGTTTTTTCGACTTGCTTAATTTGCGACCTGTTTTTCAACAGTTAAAACATTTTTTAGTTTTAAATGGACAGTCTTTTCTGAAATGAAGCAGACCACAGTTAAAGCATAGATTAAGTTTAATATTTTTATTCTAGATTTTTTTTCTTTTAGTACTACTTTTTTTTCTAACCATCTGTACTTCTGTCGTGCCATGTTGTTCGATTTTAGCTGTATGACAATTTTTTGGCACTCGTCCGCAACTGTCTGTATTGTTAATTTGAATCATGTTCAAGTTTTGTAAGTATTCGAGAGCGTATCGTTGCTTGATGTTAGATCTTAACGAAGATTAGACATTTAAATCTGTCTGGAGATAATTCATCAAGTTTAAATTTCTCACACCCACAGTTGACTTTACCGGTATATGTGGCAAAATTTTCATTTTCGTCCTTAGTAAAGTTCATGCACTGCCAACCTTTATAAAACAGCGAATTATTTTCACCAAAGATTTTCGAAAATATTGACACTGTTTCGTTAAATGACACTTTTTTCCTGGAGTTTTTCATGTTCAATCGTGTGCAATTTTCCTAACAGAAGACGTATCTTCTTTTCATCAAACCATCTTTGACATTCTTCTCTGAAAATGGTGTCGTACCATCGGAAGTACGATAGGAATGTAATGTTTTCTTCTGAGGCGTAATTAACTGCACTAATTAAGTTAGTGATTAGGTCCGACTAAAACGAAATTGACGCATTTTCTGATCCTCGCTTTTCCAGGATTGCTTTTATCTGTTCTTGATATAAAATTCTTTTTCGTTTCATTTGTTGTAATAATACCTTCCGAAATTCTTAACGTTGCTGAATAAATGTTATAGTGGAACACACCTATTCTATAGTTAATAGACTCTCCGACATATAATAAGTAGTAGTAGTAGTAATAGTAATGAGTGAGTCGCTCAGTGAGTTGGTCAGTCAGTCGATGTCGGACGACCGTTAGTCGGATACTAAAAGTACTAGCCACCACTACTAGATGTCTGCGTCATTACCTATCATATCAAGTTCCTAACGTTTTGTACGTCGAACCTATTTTAGGACCGACTTAGTGAAATACAAGCCTCCACTGTGAAACTACTCTACAGCAATAAACATCTTCAATTCTTCCAGGGTGTATTTTCTTCGTAATAGTACTTACCTAGGGAAAAAAAATTGTTTTTCCCCTAATGGTTGTATATCATTCAGCCTTGAATTTTTACCAACTTCTGAGCTCCACCATTTTTTTTTTCCTTAAATTTTGAATTTCACAAAGTATTTATGCTAAGAAAGAGGAAACAATTTTTTTCGTGTGAATTCGAATTCTCGTCGCCACTGTTATGTCTTCATTACATTGAGTGAAGATAACACAATCAAGTAGTATATCGCTTGGAGTCGACGTAGTCTTGCTGAAATAGGTAGTAAGCAGATAGGCTCAGTCACTACTAATTTTATCCTTCCACTAACGATTCTCGGTGTCATTCCATATGTATTTGGACGAGTCCAAGTCCTCTTCTGGAGAGGCATGTTCATCTCGAGAAGAGATAGATAGATATATAGATAGCCATTGAGTTGATTGATTTGTTTTTACGGGTTATCAATTCTTTGCAGTTTATTTAAAGTCAGAAAAGATTTTTAGGTTATAAGAACTTTTTGGAGATAATAATTATTTACTGTTATAAGTCCAAATAATTAACCCATAGCTGAGGGAAACTGAAGCGGATTCATACGTTTCCCAAGGCTATTTGCGCGTAAGTGAATATAACAAACGCATTGAGAATTGAAACTCAGCTCTCCGATTTCCAATTCCGAGTTATTCTCCCTTATACCACCCGCAAATCCAAGTTTACAGCACCTGGTATTCCCAAGTGGTCACCTATTTAGGTACTGACCAGGCTCGGTGTTGCTTAAGATCAGTGAACTCCGCCCTCTGATTAACAATTCCGAGCTCTTATTCATTACACCACTCGCACATCCAGGTTTACAGCACCTGGTATTCTCAAGCGGTCACCTATCCAAGTACTGACCAGACTCGACGTTGCTTAACCTCAGTGGTCGTACGGGAACTAACGCCCGCTGATTAACAATTCCGAGCCCTTATCCATTACACTACTCGCACATCCAGGTTTACAGCACCTGGTATTCCCAAGTGGTCACCAATCTAGGTACTGACAAGGCTCGACGTTGCTTAACTTCGGTGATAGGATGGGAACTCTGACCTCCAATTAACAATTCCTTGTCATTATCCATTACACCATTCGCACATCTAAGTTTACCGCACCTGGTATTCTCAAGCGGTTACCCATCTAAGTACTGACTTGGCTCGACGTTCCTTAACTTCGGTGATAGTATGGGAACTTGGATCTCCGATTATAAATTCAAAGCTCTTATCCTTTACACCACCAAATCCAAGCTTACAGCACCTGGTATTCTCAAGCGGTTACCCATCCAGGTACTGACCAAGCCCGACGTTGATTAACTACGGTGATCGTACGGGAACCGGTGTTTAAATATGATGTGGAGGTAAGCCGAGAGCCACTCAGGGTAGAGGTGTTTGATCTGAATAAGAGAAGGTGTTAGGAAGTGAACATTGTGAGGATAAGGAGGACAGACGACTGATGACCCGTGACTTGGAGAGGGTAGAATTGTAGTGATCGGGGAAGTATTCTCATGGGAGCCTGTTCCTCAAAGTAAGCGATTCTTGGGCAAAACCTGACTGGGTGGAACTGCCTCCTTACAACTTACAAGACAGAGGAAATGGAGGTGATTCGACTCTGCGGAAGTAGTATGGTGTAGACTGGCAATAAAGATTTGAACTGTCGGAACTCGATAATGAAGTTCATCTGAACATTTGGGCTGACGGCTACATCACGTGGAAACATCTGTTCCCGTACGAACACCGAAATTAAGCAACATCAAGCTTGGATGTGAGAGTAGTGTAATGGATAAGGGCTCGAAATTATCAATCGGAGGGCGGAGTTCCCGTACGATCACTGATGTTAAGCAACGTCTAGCCTGGTCAGTAACTAGATGGGTGACCGCTTGGAAATACCCGGTGCTGTAAACTCGCACATGCGAGTGGAATAATGGATAATGACTACAAATTATTAATCGGAGAGTTGAATTCCAGTACGAGCGCTGAAGTTAAGCAACGTCGAGCCAGGTCAGTACCTAGATGGGTGACCACTTGAGAATACCAGGTGTGGTAAACTTGGATGTGTGAGTGGTTTAATGGATAATGACTAGGAATTGTTACTTGGAGATCCGAGTTCCCATATTGTCACCGAAGTTAAGCAACGTTGAGCCTGGTCAGTACCTAGATTGGTGACCACTTGGGAATACCAGGTACTGTAAACTTGGATTCTTGGATGTGCAAGTGGTGTAATGGATAAGGGCTCGGAATTTTTAACCGGTGGGCGGAGTTCCCGTACGATCACTGAGGTTAAGCAACATCGAGCCTGGTCAGTACCTGGATGGGTGACCACCAGGTGCTGTAAAGCTGGATGTGCGAGTGGTGTAATGGATAAGAGCTCGGAATTGTTAATTTTGGATCCGAGTTCCAGTTTCAGTCGGGTTCGTGATAGTCACTTACAATTTTGGAAAGGTTTAAATCCACCTCTTTTCCCCTCGCCTATTGGTTAATTAGTAAAACTTGTAAAATTGCATACAAAATATTTACAGTTAGCAGTAGATAAGATACAGGCTTGCGAAATTGTGTTTGTGGGAAATAGGTCGCTGAGAGATGGAAAACACTGAATTTAAAACAAATTACATCTTAATCATTTAATCTCTCAATGGGCATCTACTTCTCATGTACGTGTACATACACCATATACACACAGGCACAATCATATATCACACATATATCACATACACATCACACACACGTATCACACACACATTACATACAGAGAACAATCAGACTACTTGCACATATTTGATTATAGTGGTGAAGGCTTTGTGCAGAACCAACCACACTTTTTTGGAAGGGCCGAATACAGAGACCTGGTGCACAATGTGCCACAAGGTCCCCAAACAACCCTCCGCATGTTTTGAATTCAGATTTGGCACCTAAAGCTATAGAACCCACTCTGTCCTGCTATTTACCAATACCTGGGGGGAGAAGAGGATTCATACATTTCCCATACACGTAAGTGGAATTCGAACTCGGCTCTCCGATTTCTCAATCCGAGCCGCTATCCACTGTGCCTAGGGAGGAAGTGTGGGTTTGTAAACAGTAACTATTACGGCTAATAATGCAAGACTCTTCGGTAAATCGAATCGACTTCGCTCAGTTACCGTGTGTTTATCTAAAAATAAATACGCTTAAATTCACCTTCACCCCTGCCATGCGCCAAAGGCTTAGTTGTAGACTCCCCAACTGATAACAATTCAGTCGGGTTTCGATCCTAGCTAGAGGCAACCGGACGTCTAGCCACACTGATGAGCTGTCATACAGTGAAACAGTCTGTCTGTGGATGACTATATATATATATATATATGTGTGTGTGTGTGTGTAAAGGTGTGTTTGTGGGTGGGGGGTGTTGTGTGTGTATGAACTCTATCATCGCTGTAAATTCGAATCAGCTTAACAAACATAAAATTTAAAAGAAATTATTTTGTTCTTAATTAAATACATGAATAAATCTATACGAATAATTTTATCAGAAAATGACCCAAAAGTATGTTTTCTGCTATAAACAAGCAGACAAAAATAATTGTCTATATTACATACGGAAATGAAATAAATTGATTCTTTTTCGATTCCGAAACAAAGAATAATTAATTAAAATCCAAGTGAAACGTTATGAGTTTATTTTCTCATGTTATGCATTTATCTCTTTCTAGTCACGTTAAAACGAAGTTTTTTTTCTTCTGCTGACCGAAATTCTTTCGTGTATAAGCCAACCCACTCGCTGCACATCTGTCATTTCTCAGTAGGTGATTGACTCTTTTCTAAAAGAGAATCGTACGTACAGTTGAAGAAGGGTAATGTAAATAAAAGTGTATGGGGTGGGGGGGGATTTTCATCGTTTCGGGCCTATAGCAGCCCCCAAGATAGTTATCAACTGTGAACCTATTTTTAATATAACGCTTCATTCTCTTGAATTTTGATTATTGCCAAGCGGATTAATATCGGATAAAATTACCTTATCTCTAGTCAGCGTCTCAAATGAAAAGCAAAAATGCATTTGCTACTAGTATTTCAATTAAAATAAAATCGATTGTCGCTTAATTGATATAAGACATTTAATTATTATTCTTACATGATATTCATACGGCCGTCTTTGAATGTTTATCTATTCGCTCAACAATCATGCGCCATCCAACTAATATATTAATTTCTGCTGATTTCTTTCTAAATGCTAATAAAAGCCCCTGTGCGTTACTTGGAAAGAAAGGAAGGAAGGAAGGAAGGAAGGAAGGAAGGAAGGAAGGAAGGAAGGAAAAGACGCGAAACGAAACGAAATTATGAAAACAAAAGAAAGGAGGAAAGGAAACGAAAGTATGAAAACGAAAGTATGAAAACGAAAGAAAGAAAGAAAGAAAGAAAGAAAGAAAGAAAGAAAGAAAGAAAGATAGAAAAAGAAAACGACAGTATGAAAAAGAAAGAAAGAAAAAAATGAATGTATGAAAAGAAAAGAAAGAAAGGAAACGTAAGTATGAAAACACAAGAAAGAAAGAAAGAAAGAAAGAAAGAAAGAAAACGAAAGTGTGAAAACAAAAGAAAGAAAGAAAGAAAGAAAGAAAGAAAGGAAGTGAAAGTATGAAAACGAAAGAAAAAAGAAAGAAAACAATAGAAAGAAAGAAAGAAAGAAAGGAAACGAAAGTATGAAAACGAAAGAAAAAATAAAGAAAGAAAAAAACGAAAGGGGGAAAGAAAGAAAGAAAAAAAGAAAGAAAGAAAGAAAGAAAGAAAGAAAACAAAAGAAAGAAAGAAAGAAAGAAAGAAAGAAAGGAAGGAAACGAATGTATGAAAACGAAAGAAAAAATAAAGAAAAGAAAGAAAGAAAGAAAGAAATGAAAGTATGAAAACAAAAGAAAGAAAAGAAGGAAATGAATATATGAAAAGAAAAGAAAGGTGGTAAATATAAGAATGAAAAAAAACGAAAGAAATGCGAGAAATAAAAGAAAGAAAGAAATGTCTATGTATGAGGGAAAGAAAATAAGAATTGTGTTTATATTTAGATGAATATTAAGAATGAATGAAAGAAATGACCAAATTTAAGGGTAAGAAAAAGGAAAACAT